TGTATTTTACTTTGGAGTGCTGTCCAGCTTGCTGAGGCATTTATGCTATATGCACTTTGTTTTGTTTCCTTCCTAAAATTCTAAAACTTTTGAACTCCAAGATTCCATCCCTAGTAAGGGGTTGTGGATCTGTATAACAAAGGCACAGCCTATAGGAGAGTAGAGGATGTATGTATACCAGGAGAAGTTGTCCTGAGGAACCATGGGATCATTATTTGCCTGATAAGGAAGGTTGAGCACTGGAGAAGAGGATGAGGGATACTGAAAAGATGGCAGAGTCAATAGAGTATTGATTCTAGTGGAGCTGAAGAATTATTGGCATCTGAAAGCTAGAAGGGGGCTGTGAAAAGAGAGTTTGACTCTGCTAGGCTTTTAGTCCTTAACGAAACGTAATTACAGAACACAAATTAGTTCTCCCTCTAGTTTCTTATCTGTGAATCCTCCAGCTTGGTGTGACTGCTCTATTCTTTCAATACAAATGATAGATTATATGATACTATTAAAAGAAATATTTCTAAAGTGTCCAGAAATAGTCAGCAATTGAGTTATAGCCCAAAGGACACCTCCCACCTTTATAACAGATTAAAATGTACTTAACAAAATATATATCTGGGGACCAAGAGGCCAGAATGTTTGCAATGGGGACTGTTGTAAAACTTAACCAACAGCACCTTCACTCTTTGCTACTTTTAGCAAAGATTTGAAAAAAGTAGATTGATGCCATTAAGTTGTTTTTACTGTAGTAGGAAGGAAGGAAAAGCAAATTGCCAAGAAGTTCCCTAGCATTCAAATTGCTGTGTTCATACATCAGAGCCTGGTGCTGGTTGTGATTTTCTTGCACTTCTAGTAAATTAGTAGACAGTAAAACTCTCTATATTATGTCTAAAGAAATTTATGGGTTCTGATAGGAAGATTTTCTGTTCTGACTAATAAATTTTAAGCCAAGTGGCCAAGCATGGTGAAATATTATGGCCTTTGAAAACAGTACCACTTCATTTGGCGTCTAAACTTGTCATCTTTCCAAATTCTAGTCCAGGTACAACACAACTGAGTCAAAGTAAAAAAGATAACTGAGTCCTTAAAGACCTAGGCAGGGAGAGACTTAGGCAGCCTTACCCCCTGCTTTTGACTATACATTCTCTGCCATAGTAACCAAAGGTAAATCATTCTTCAGAATTAAGATGTTTCTTGGAATTTATCCACTCATTCTGATTTCCTTCTGTTCTGTTCTTTATTTACTCCTAATGTAGTTTTTCTATAAAAGCTGAATAGTTTTTGTACTGTTTCTAGGGTGACTTCTTACTACTTGACTCAGGAAAATGCACTGAATGATAATGTATGAATGGCATTCATGCAGGGATAAATGTAAAGATAACTATGTTCCCTGCCCTCAAGAAGCTGATAGCTAAGTATAGCAGATGTTGTAAACAACAGAAATGCTTACTGTGAGGGCCTATTAAAGAATACAGAAGAAGGAAAGAACACTAATGGTTCTAAAGGCGCTAGGAAGAAGGAGCTAACTTTTGTTTGAGCAGGATAGTGAAAGAAGAAATTTTAGGCGGTAGAGTTAATTGAGGAGTAAGTGAACCCTGTGGAAAGAAGTTAGAGAAATATAAACCCTGTGGGAAATGAATCATTTTATGTTGAACTTACACTCCAGGTGCACACAGAAATTCCTTCCCAAATATTTAAAATTATAGTATATGCAAATGTATTTTTCATGAGCCTCAAGATGTGGACCTGGCAGGAATGGAAAGCAAGTGCGATTGAGGTTTTTTTGTTTGTTTTTTTTTTTTGTTTTTTGAGACAGAGTCTATGCAGCTCAGGGTTGCCTTGAATTTGCTGTAAGAGAGGGTACCCAAATCTCTTTATTCTCCACTTTTCACCTCACTGCTGGAATTACAGGCCTTGATTCTGCTTTTGTACCTCATAGGGTGAGGGTCTGAACACACAGAAGTTGGTCTGTGTCTGTGTACTAGGGAGAAAGGTGTTAGGAATTCTTCCCCTCCAGTAGAACAGCTAGGTTTTTTAGCCTTTTCCTTCTTCAGGGTCTGTGTCTAGGGACTTTGGAAGCCTGAGAAGTGGGAGCAACTGAGATCACAAATGTAGAAAGCCTGGGAGTATGTGGCCTTAAACCCAAATTCTTTAGAAAATGGCTTGGCCTTTTGACAGCATGCTAAGAAAGTTCATTGGAGAAAAGAAAAGTTTTTTCCACAAGAGGAACAATTGGACATCCACTAATGAAAGAGTAAGGGTGGACCTCTCTCTGCCTTTCTCTCATATACCACACACAGAGTTAGCTCAGAATGGATCTTATAAACTGGAAAACTCTTAGATTAACTTATAGGAGTAAATCTTCATGACTTTGAGCTACATGATGATTTCCTATATACAACATTAAAAGTACAAATAGCAGAGGAAAAATAGATTATATCAAAATTAACAACTTACTTAGTTAAATGATACCATCAAGAAAATGGAAAGATCTTCCCCTTATAAGGACATAATACACAGAGTTTAAGAGCCCCTACACCTTGATAACAACACAACCCAGCTTCATTTGTTTTAAGATTCTCTGTGTGGGAGTGAGTGTTTTGTCTGTACACTGTGTGTTTATAGTATCCTTGGAGGCCAAAAGAAGGCATTGGATCCCTCTGAGATTGGAGTTACAGATGGTTGTGAGCTAAGGTGCGTCCTGGGGACTAGACCTGGGTCCTCCTGAAGAGGAGCCAGTGCTCTTGACTACCAAACCATCTCTCCAGACCCCATCAACTTTAAAATGGATAAAGAATCTGAATAGACATTTCTCCATGGAGATACATGGGTAACCAGTAAAACAGGAAGATGACCCACATGGCTTGTCATCAGGGACATGCATATCCAGATAACAGTAAGATATGACTTCTTACTCTTAGGATATCTGGAAAGAAACCAGTGCTGCATTACCTTACTTAATAACTATCCATGGATAATATGCTGATGACATTTTATTTCTTCTGAAATTTTGAACCCAATCAGCTAGACAGGCAGATGGATCAGTTACATCTTCTCCATTGGGAGTGACTAAGAAGAGTTGTATGAAATTCTTAAGTCATAAGGATGTATACCAGGGTGTGTGTAGAACACAGAGTACTTGTGAGCAAACACAGTACCAAGTTGGTGCTTGAATGGCGGCTGCTGCTGATCCTCTGCAGTTGTGCGACTCTGGTTTCTAGCCTTTGTCAGGAGTGTGGTGCTCTCCTCCAGATGAGGCAGTTCTGATGTGCTGGAGCAGCCTTCCCTGAGCACTTGCTCCCCAATGGCCAGGACTGTCCAGATGCAAGGGATTAGGGGTGATTAAGAAAACTAGGAATAGTGGTTGTAATCTCTTATGTGGCTGGAACAAGATAGGGCAGTAAAATGCAGTCATTTCATTCTTTTCTGTTCATTAAAAAATTATTATTATTATTAACCTCTTCCCTCATCTATTCGCCGGCCTTGCTTCTCACAGAACATTGACTAGGAAGCAGAGCCCATTTGCGCTGAGCCCTAGGGCAGCTGTTTACTCAGCAACCGCGTTACACAGGTTTACCATGTCGTGTGTCTGTGTAGCACTGGATTTGGATCTTGTATTTAGCTGCCAGAAGTGACTGTGATGAAGTGGGAGAGATAAACTGATAGATTGGCTGCCAGGAAGATGTTGGGAATCAATCAGATAAACAGGGTAGAGAAATAGCTTGCTGTTTTCTAGCGATAATAAACCGGTGGCCTCTGGTCCCTGCATTTTTAAATGTAATTGCTGTGGTAATAATGCCCAAAATAAGCAAATGAGAAAACTTCACAGGAGGATTTTTAATTGCGATTGAGATATCCTTTCCTTTGTGTGGTAAAGCTGTGTCTTATGGAAGTGGATATTTTTATAGATTTTACTTCTTCAGTGCCTACTTACGTTCACAAATGAAAATTAGAAACTAAACTACTTTCATAGGAATTTATTTCTTCTCCATCCTAGCACAGGCTTCAGCCATTTAATTTGGTGAAATATCTGTATTACTATGACTTACCTACAAAATAATTGCTTGTTTTTGTGAAGAAACAAATTTTAAAGACAAACCTGTATTATTGATAGATGTTTAGCAGGAACTAGTTTATTTTAGATTTCTCTGAAATGTCTGGAAACCTAATTTCTGTTTTCATTTCTTTCCTTGTAGTACTTATAGCAGAGATGACACCAAATTTATTATTGCAGCTTAAAATTCTTGTCTTTTAATGTTTTGACACCTTTACACTGAGGATTCTAAGGTCCTATGCAGGTTCCTAAGTGTGTGGAAGGTATAGATTGAGATTGTTATTGGATGCAGTGGAGTACCAGGATTAAGAGGAGAATGGGCGAATAACATTAGAACCCCCACGGAGTTAACCCAGCAGGATGGAGACACAAATGACTTCTTAGTTCCTCCAGACTTTGACTATGTGTGTGTGTTTGTGTCATGTCTGCTTAGGTCAGTTGGTGTCACTGGCATAGCAGAGTACAACTGTATAAAGCAAGAGGGTGAAGTCCACACTCTTTATTATTGACAGTCAAGACTGCCACTAAGGGAAGACTTTCTGAATCCTGGGGTTGTAGTTCTGAAGTTAACTTTACACCATTATCCCACTGGTTGGAAGCTGATGCATTTCCCTTTCTGTCCACAGCCCTTCCTACCTGACCTTTTAAAAATTATCCATTGTTGATGAGACAAGCAAAACTGGTTGTAAAAGCAGTAAGAGGAATGTTGCTCGCTCATTGATTCATTTGAAACAAACTGTGTACCATAAGTCATCTAAATGGATGTCTCTTCTCAGCTATTGTGATAGCTACCTTTGAAAACTTCATAAATATAAAAGGGCTCATGGAAATTCTCCCTTATTGACTGTAGTTTAAGAGTGGTCATTATGCCTTTCAGAATTCCTTCTGTGTTCTTTTAAGCCAGATGCTGCTAGGAGATGATAATAACTCAGTTGTTATCCTTTTTCCTTAGCTCCTTCGAGAACTCATAGAGCGGAAGACCAGCTCCTTGGATCCAAATGATCAGGTGGCCATGGGAAGGTAACTTAGATATATGGTTTTCTGTTCATTCATGCTGCCTATGTAGTAGTTTCTCCCATTGGGTAGTCTCAATTCAGCCTCCAAGGCAGTGACTGGTCCTATAATTACCAGTCTTTCTTATGCTCTTCATTTCTTAGTATGGGTTGTATTTATATCCATAGCAATCTTTACTAAGGCTGTTGTTCCCATGCATCATCTTGTGCTTTGAAAATACAAAGGGCATTTAGAGTGCTACCTTGTGAGTGGTGTGCATTTAAATAACCATGAGCATGAAAAGAAACAAAAACTGCAGATATCAAAAAGAGATTTTGGACAGAGCAGCATTTTGAATAGGCAATGAAAAATTAGTGTTGATGGAGTAATTTTTTGAATTTTGTATTTGAATTTTCATATTTGAATTTTGGGACAGGATATTGTTGATATTTCCCATATCTTTGGAATGTTGTAGGAGTGTTTTCTATATAGTTAATGTGATAGAGCAAATTGCATTTAAGTGGTGATTATATTGTACATTTATCTGACTTTACAATAAAATAGATTATGGTAATTAAGATTATATTAAGATTACAGTAATTGGATTTCCCTAGATTCTCCCCCCCCCCCACCGTGTTGAGTTTTCCTTGTGTGAGTCAGGTAAAGTGACTAGCTGCTACTGTAATTTCCCGTTTGCGTTTGCTCACAGGTGCAGTTTGTGGAGATCTTTAGCTTGGTTTCAAATCCCTTATTTGAAAAATAAGTTCCCAGATACATAAATCCTGTGTGGACCCTGTTCCACATAAACCAGCTGTGAAAAAGGAGTCAATCTAGGGAGCTTGAGACTGATGAATATTGAATAAAAATATTTATTGTATAATGTTTCTTGTATTTTTTTATTTTTTTAAAGGTAATAAAATTACCTTTTTTTAATTTTTTTAATGGTAATAAAATTACAATCAGTCCAGGTGGTGGCACACATCTTTTAAATCCCAGTACCTGGTGTACAGAAGCAGTTGGATCTTTATGAGTTTGAGGTCAGCTTAGTCTGCCTTTTTTTTAAGCATTTTTTTTAATTGATTTTTATTGAGCTCTATATTTTTCTCTACTCCCCTCCCTCCTTTAACCCTCCCCCAAGGTCCCCATGCTCCCAATTTACTTAGGAGATCTTGCCTTTTTCTACTTCCCATGTATATTAGATCTATGAAGTCTCTCTTAGTGTCCTTATTGTTGTCTAAGTTCTCTGGGATTGTGGTTTGTAGGCTGGTTTTCTTTGTTTTATATTTAAAAACCACCTATAAGTGAGTACATGTGATAATTGTCTTTCTGTGTCTGGGTTACCTGACTCAAAATAATGTTTTTCTAGCTCCATCCATTTTCCTGCAAAATTCAAGATGTCAGTTTTTTTCTTTTGTGTAGTACTCCATTGTGTAAATATAAGACATTTTCCTTATCCATTCTTTGGTCGTGAGGCATTTAGGTTGTTTCCAGGTTTTGGCTATAACAAACAAAGCTGCTATGAACATAGTTGAGCACATGTCCTTGTGGCACGATTGAGCATCCTTTGGATATATACCCAAAAGTGGTATTACTGGGTCTTGAGGAAGGTTACCTAATTTTCTGAGAAATCGCCACACTGACATCCAAAGGAGTTGTACCAGCTTGCATTCCCACCAGCAATGCAGAAGTGTTCCCTTTTCCCCACAATCTCTCCAGCATAATTTGTCATCAGTGTTTTTGATCTTGGCCATTCTTACAGGTGTAAGATGGAATCTCAGAGTTGTTTTGATCTGCATTTCTCTGATGACTAATGATATTGGACATTTCCTTAAGCGTCTTTCAGCCATTTTAGATTCCTCTGTTGAGAGTTCTCTGTTTAGGTCTGTACTCCATTTTTTTTTTTTAATTGGGTGTGTTCTTTTGGTGACCAATTTCTTGAGTTCTTTGTATATTTTGGAGATCAGACCTCTGTCTGATGTAGGGTTAGTGAAGATCTTTTCCCATTCTGTAGGCTGTCATTTTGTTTTGTTGACTGTGTCCTTTGCTTTACAGAAGCTTTTCAGTTTCGGGAGGTCCCGTTTATTAATTGTTTCTCTCAGTGTCTGTGCTGCTGGGGTTATATTTAGGAAGTGGTCACCTGTGCCAATGCATTCAAGTGTACTTCCCACTTTCTCTTCTGTAAGGTTCAGTGTCAAACTCTCACTGTTTGCTGATGATCTTATAGTTTACTTAAGCGATCCCAAAAATTCTACCAAGTCTGCTTGTCTTAAAAAGTAAAAATAAAAGAGATTATATTGAAGGAGGGGGAAAAAAGAGTACACATACTTAAATATTATAGATAGAATATAATATTATTATATATAGAAAATACAAATTAAACAAGTATAAGATTAGTGAATAATTAAGAGCAGATGACCCAGGTTTGGTTCCCAAAATTCACAAAGTGGAAGGAGACTCCCATGAGTTGTCCTCTGACCTCTGTACATGTGCCATAGTATGTGTGGGCATGAACAAGTGAGTGCACACACATCTAGATAAATAAATAAGTGTAAATTTTTAATTAGAAAGGAAAATTAAAAAAAATACTGAGTATTAGAAAGGGAAAATTAAAGTTAGAAAATTGAGCTAACATGGTGGTGTGTGTCTTTAACCTCAACATTTGGGAGACAGAGGCAGATTCGAGGAGAGCCAGGGCTACATAGGGACTTTGTCTCAGGAAACCAAAAGAGAGTGGAGGGTGATGAGAATGTAAATAAAAAAATCCTCCCCAATTGATTAGTCACTTTGGCCCAAGACTATCTTGAGGAATTTGATGTAGGTTGCTGTTTTTTTGTTTTTGTTTTTGTTTTTGTTTTTTTGGGGTTTTTTTTTGTCTACAGGGTTGTTAGTGAGAAAAATTACAATTTTTCAATATTCATAGCTGTTTCTTTGGGTGATGTTGCATAACATGGCTTGTGAATTTCCCAGGCAGTGGCTTGCAGTCCAGAAACTACGAAGCAAGATCCGAAAGAAAGTAGATAGAAAAGCCAGCAAAGGAAGGAAACTTCGGTAAGTTTGTGGGAAGCAAATGTGCTTTGTTGCTTCTCTTTTGTTTTGATTGTCCAGTCTTTCTTTCTCTTGACCTTTTAACCTTGATTTTGTTTTTTGAGACAGGTTGACCTTGAACTAAAAGTCTCCTGCCTGAGCCTCTTGAGTGTTAATATTCTGGCATATTCTTCCACACACACCACTGCTCACAATTCTGTTTTTTTTATGGATGCTAAAAATAACAAATTGATGTGTAAATGTTTTTATGACCTTTTTTTTACTCTAGAAAGGAAATACAGTTTATTGAATGTTCTGTTGTTGTCAATGGATGTATAAAATACATTAGTGTTTCCCTGAAAGAAATAATTAGAAAACAAAGGAAAGGTGATTATTTTAGCTTTGAAAAGACAAAGTGAAAGACTTCGAAAATGTTAACAGTATACTTACATGAGATAAAGAATATAATTTTTATGGGCAAATAGAAGTATTTTTGATGTATGACGACGCTCCACTCTGCGCTAATAATGAGTCTAAGGAAGGTACAGACAGGACTGGAGAGATGGTTCAGTGGTTAAGAGCACACACTGTTCTTACAAAAAACAAGTTTGTTTCCCAGCAGCCTTATCACGCAGCTCCAGGGGATCTGATGCCCTTCTGACCTCATAGAGGTACACATGTATACATAAATAGATAATAGTAGAAAATACGTTTTTTAGAAAGAAAGATAGAGACAAAAGACAGAGCAAGAGAGTAGGAACTGACATTTCTATATTTTTAGATTTATATCCTGAGGCTAGAGTGGGGTAATATCATCTGACAAAACCTCAGTGTCAAAGAATCTGCTGATAGTTCAGGTGCATGCCAAAAACCATCTTTATATGTATGCTTTTAGATAGATATCTAATCATCACTAGAGAGCCTTTCTTTTATTAGATTTCCTTTAGACAGATATGGATCTGTCTTACTTTTGAATGTCTTCGGGCGATGCATGCCTGTAACCTCAGCACTCAGGAGGTGCAGTCAGGAGTATTGTAAGTTGGAAGCCAGCCTGAACTACTAGAGGGAGAAAACAAACTTCACAAAAACAGATTTCATAATCACTTTACCTTGTTCGGGATTTAACAAGACTGACCAGGAAATGCTGATTCAGCTTTGCAGAAGTGCACAGGAGCTACCACTCTTCTTACATTTCTGCCAGAACTGTTAGAATCTTTCCAGTTTTCTCCTGTGTTGAAATGTGCAGCTCTTGTGCTTCTCTGGGCATTTTTACTGTGTAATTAAGAGGGTGATTCGAGCCACACTACCTGAGTTTGGGTCCCAGTTCAGACAGTGACTAGTGCATACTTTGTGAGACCTTAAACTCTTTATGCTGGTTTCTTCATTTGTAAAATGGGCATGATAACCACGTAGAACCAGTTTGTGGTGGTGAGACTAAATGAAGAAGTATGTGGAGCTCTCAGAGTAGCGCTAGGTTCCTGGTAAGCATTGTAGTATTGACCGCCATTGTAGCTGTTACTGTTGCTGTCATTCTTCTAAGACTGCTGGGTCAGTCGGCCACCCTAGTGCTTATTTCCTTCCTCAATTCCATTCCTTTTTCTGTACCGGTCTGTCTATTTTTACCCATGGGGATTTAAAGAATGTTACTAACAGTATGTTATAAATGGCAACTGTATTCTTTATTGTTAGTTCAGGTTACACTCTAGGACTGTGTATAAGACTAGTTTACTGGGGTCTCTCCAGAAGAAGCAGTTGGAAGATGTGGGTTCAAGTCTTGACTCTGTCTGGTCATACTATTTTGGATCTTTATTCTCTATTCCTCACTGTTTTCATTTATTAATTAAAGGAGATAATCCCTTCTTGATAGATTTGTTATGGGTATTAAGTGAACTAATGTGTAGATATCTAGTACACAGTAAACATTCTCTTATGTTTATATAATGGTGTTTTTCTTGGGAATAAATTATGTCTTTCAAAGAATTGAGAGAGGCCAGCTGTGATGGTATAATCTGTAATCTTAGCACTGAGGAGGCTAATGCAGGAGGATCAAAAGCTTGAGGCCTACTTTGGCTACACAGGCCTTTTTTGGCTTCCTAAAAAGTAAAAAAGGAGAGGGAGGAAACAAGAAAATATTCTACAGTTTTGTTACTGTAAATTTTTTTTAAAAGATTTATTTATTTATTATGTGTATATCACTCCTTCCATGTGTGCCCACATGCCAGAAGGGGGCGCCAGGTCTACATTATAGATGGCTGTGAGCCACCATGTGGTTGCTGGGAATTGAACTCAGGGACTCTTGAAGAGCAGTCAGTGCTCTTAACCACTAAGCCATCTCTCCAGCCCCGTTACTGTAAATTTTTAAATTGTTAGAGCCAAGAGCTGTATGTACGCTTTGTGCTCAAGAATAGTTTTACTTTATCCTTTCAGATAGCTCAACCTCACTACCAACTGCAATGCCTTGTAGATAGTAGTCAGTCAGAAAATGCCTTGGATAAAAATGATGATAATACTACAGTGATTGGCTGTGACTGTAAGCAAAGCATAGATTTAAAAACCTGGATCTGGAAGTGTCACCTACCAGCAGTGTGCCTGCTGAGGATGCATGAGGCTCTGCTTTCAATCCTTAGAGGAAAAAGAAAAGTCAAGGTTGGTATTGGAAAGCAGGTACTCTTCTGTTATGTTAAATTGAGAGCATGGGACTGCTGCTCAGATCGAAAGATGTTGGTCGGGATTTTTATCAGGTTGAAAGAAAACAGTATTATGTATGGGGATGTATGTGTATATGCACATATGTATGAGAGACCTGACACTGGGTGTCTTCCTCAGCTGCTCTCTATCATTATATTGACCTAGGCTTTCTCACTTGAACCCAAAGCTAGTCTTTGCAGTTTGCTGGGGTGGGAGGTGGGGTTGCTTCCTTTTTAACACAGAATTATAGGCAGTAATCAGCTATACCTGCTCAGCATTTGCATGGGTGGTGAGTAACCAAACTGGTGGTTATGCTTCTTTGGCAAGCCGTTTCCACTGATGAGGATTTTATTTTAATGAAACTTGCTTTTATTATCTTAATTTATGAAGTTAATTTCATTAAACTGTTTAATTAGAGGTATGTGTCACTGTAATTATGTAACTTGGTAGTGGTTGAAATCCCTACCTGCCCAAATATTCAGAGACATTAAAATCTTAATTCTGGCAACATTCATTCAAGAGACATGCTTAAGCAAAACAAGACCAAAAGTTAAAAATAAGAGGGACTGTAGTTGGTAGATCAAGTCTGGAAAAGCAGGCAGACCTTGCTGTTGGTGGGTGCTGCAGTATTTACTCTTGGCCCAGCATTGAGGTGTGCAGCCTGCACAGGAAGACTGCAAGGTGCCGTGTCCACACTGAACTGTAAGAGACTGATTAGACCAGGTGAAAGCAAAAAGAGTATTATTTATATAAACATTTGCCTGTTTGAGACAGTGGGGCCATCTTGGGAATTTCAGGCTTAAAGTGAAGGTGGAGGAATGGCAGGCAGTGAGACTTGGTGTTTAGGTGAGTGCTAGATCACAGCCACTCTCACAGTTTGGGCTTTGTTCTGTTGACTACCATGAAGCATTTAGAGATCCCATGCAGAGGAGTATTGTCATCACTCCAGTGTTTTAGAAAGACAATTCTAGGGTTTTGTGAACTAGGACTAGAAATTTTTGAGAGCAAGGGCTTGATGAAAGAGCTGATACGCTGAACCATGAATTCAGGTGAAGACTTAGTATTTCGTAGTGACTTCATGTGAAGATTGTGAGTAGGCTAGAATGGTCACCAGCATATTCTACAAGGAGAAAATCTGTTTTGTTTTGTTTTTGTTGTTGTTGAGAGAAAGAGTGGATTCTGTTTAGAATATGTTGAATTTCATACAACCTTGAAGGGTCTTTTTTTTAAAAAAAAAAAAAATCAAGACAAGATTTCTCCATGTAGCCCTGGCTGTCCTAGAACTCACTCTGTATGCCTGGCTGGTCTCGAACTCAGAGATCCTCCTGCCTCTTCCTCCTGAAGATGGCTCTAATCTTTTTAGAGACATTTTTAATTGAGAAGGGTGTATGTATTTACTACTTGGTATTTTAGTGTAACATGAGGGCCGGCTTGTTGGGGTTTCTGTCCCGCCCGGTACCCCACAGCCGGCAAGTCCCAGAGAATCAATCACACAGAGATCTCTATATGTTATAAAGCTGATTGGCCCATTTGGTCAGGCTACTTATTAGCTCTTATAACTTATGTTACCCCATTATTCTTATCTATGTTAGCCACATGGCTTGGTACCTTTTTCAGTTGTCAGCTTACATGTTGCGCTTCGGTGGTCTGTGCAGGAGTGGCGGAGGGAGCTTCCTGTTTTCCCAGAATTCTCCCAGTCTCTTTGCTCCACCCCTACTTCCTGTCTGGCTTACCCGCCTATACTGCCTGCCTGGCCAATGAGCGTTTTATTAAAATATGATTGACAGAATACAGACAATTCTCCCACACCATTTTAGAAGCAATTTAATTGCATTTCCTCATTGTATAATATGACAAGTCTATAATGAGAAAAACAGAACCCCAAGAAATATTGCATATATGAAATTGATAGAAGAAGAGGAATTCATAAAGAATGCTGAGGAGGCGAGACAAAGGCAGCCTATTGATCATGGGAGTGTTTACCATGACCAGAAGTGCCTGGAATGTCAGCGTCACCGAGATCATTTTCCTTCTCATCACTTTGTCAACACAAATATCGAGATATCTCTCTCTCACTCTCTTTCTCTGTGGTTTGTTTCAACACAGGGTTTCTCTGTATAGCCCCGGCTGCCCTGGAACCCACTATGTGGACCAGGCTGGCCTCGAACTCACAGAGATCTACCTGCCTCTGCCTCCCAAGTGCTGGGGTTAAAGGGTGTGCTACCACTACCTGGGTACTCAAGAATCTTTGACTTCTGTGTAAGATTAGAAGCAACAGCCAAAGGGCTTTCCATACTAGAAATGTTGTTTCCCTCTTTGTCCCTCCCTCTCTCCCTACTTTCCTTTCTCTCTCTAGACGAGGTCTCACTATGTAGCCTTGGCTGACCTGGACCTCTCAGTGGACCAGACTGGCCTCAGACACAGAGATCTACCTGCCTCTACTTCCTGAGCACAATTATTGTATGGTTTGTTTCATAAAAGCCTTTAGTATACCAGTTAATATGTTGTCCAAAGTCATGTATAATTCTAGTTGCTAGCTAAATAAATGTAGAGGGAACCAGAGAAGTAGAAAATCACTGGTGGAACAAGCATCACAGCATATATTTTATTTCAAGGTTTTAAAAAATTGTGTGTGTGTGTATTCATGTGTGGAAGTAGCAGTTGACATCAGCTGTTTTCCCTATTGTTCTCCACAAACTAGAGTTTGCCATTTTGGCTAGGCTATCTGGTCATCAAGCTTCCAGGAACATCTTGTTACATCACTACTCCAGCACTGTGGTTACAGGTACATCACTATGCCTGGCATTTCAGTGAATTCTGGGGATCCTAACTCAGATCCTCTGTTTTGCACATCAAGCACTTTACTCCTTGAGCCACTACCCCAGCTCCATATAGCAATACATTTTGTAGATAAGGCCCACAAGTAGATACTAAACCAATGTGCAAAAAACATCTGAAGAGAGCCAGGATAGTCTCAGTGAGTATGAGGCCTACTGGTCTGCATAGGTGAGTTCCAGGCCAGTTAGAACTACATAATCAGACCTTGTCTAAAAAGGAAAGAAAAAGTTTGAGGGGAAACAAATATCCGCGTGGTCTCAAATTATTGTTAGTATACACAAGGCCCTGTAATCAGTCCCAGTATCACTGAAAACACAGAAAAAAAAATTCCTTTTTGAGTCAGGTGTGGTGATTCACACTTATAATCTCAGCACCCTGGAAACCAGGACAAGAGGATTGTTTCAGTTTTATGACCAGCCTGAATTGCAATGTGAGCTCTGTCACAAACAAAAACTTTTAATTTTTACATTGTGTAAAATGTTTATAACGAAAAGAAACTATATAGGTGTCTTTTGGTATAACAACATTAAATGAATTCTGTAGACACAAGAGCACTCTAAAGGTGTGAAGACAATGCAGAATATTAAGTGCAGTCATTTGTTGCTTACCAAGAGGGGGACCTGTTAGGTGACCTACTAACACATTTACAGAAAGCTAGTTATTGTAGCCTATGACACAAAGACTGTGTAGCCATCACTAACCAAATATTATATGTAGGGAATAACTGCATTACAGTTTCATTCTTAAACTGTGTTTGTGCATGTGGGTGTATATTTTTTCTGTTACTCTTGAGTTGAAAAAAATTTCATACTGTTATTTTTTAAAATTCATTTGTTGAAAAAAGAATGAAGTTTGGGAAGTTTAGATATGTGTGATTGAATAGGGACTTATTTGATAACTGTAAAATGTTTCTAAAACTGAAATAATTATGCATGATGATATTTATTGGAGTTTTGCTTTTAAATGTTTTGCTCAAATAGAAGTTTTATGTATTTGTCTATGTTTTTGGTTGTGGGACAGTCATCCAAGCTTTTTCTAATAGAAAGATTAAAAAGGGTACATTGTAGAATTCTCTGGTATAATCTGATTTGTATTAAGTGGTATATTTAGTTAATTTTATCTGGAAATTTCAAAGGACTGTATACAGAAATGCCTTTTATATATTGCCAGGAAGTACAGGTGCAGTAGGTTAAATTTCATGACATCTCAAACTAAAAATTGACCTCAGAGTTGTTCAGAACTTTATGTGCTCCTTCAGCTAAAGGTGGGATTGTGAAAGAGCCAGCACAGTTCCTGTGGAGATGATAGAGTTGTAGGAGTCTTTCCTGGCTTGGGGAACCAGTACCAGTGAGTGGCAGTGTTGGCACTGCCTGTTCTCTTGCCAGTCCTCTTGCTAGTAGGTGACTTTAATGGCACCGAAAACTAAGATGCACACAGAGGAGGAAACTAATGTAGTTGGGTCCTCATTGATTTTATCTGGAATAATATGTAAAGATTTATGCATGCTCAAAGATACAAATGTATTGTTTCCCCTCCTATTTAGCTGTGATTTAAATGTGTCTAGGTTTAACTGTGATTTTTCACTATTCTATTAGCAGACTGCTTCCTATTGCATTAAGGGGAAAAGAGAATACAGTTGCAAATGCCTGTGATCTTTCCCCTCTCCACTCTGGAACCCAAGTCCATGGGATCACTCATGGGATTCAATTGGTAGAATATGTTTTCTTTGCTGAGTTAATGATTGCTAATGTTGCTGTCTGTTTGTTTTCTTGCTTTATTTAGGTTTCATGTCCTTAGCAAGCTCCTGAGTTTCATGGCACCTATTGACCACACTTCAATGAATGATGATGCCAGGTGAGCAGTAGATTACTTTTATATCTCAAGTGGCTTCATGAGAGCCTGGTATTGACCAGTTCTACAGCCTATTGCCCTCTGTTTCTTATCAGTCATTGGCATTGAAACAGGGTCCTTGTCATATGTTTACTGCCATGATTACTGTAAAGCCAAATCAAAATTTCCATAAATCTCAACACTGCCACATAGTGGTTTTGTTTTGTTTCAGCATTAGTCTACCGGCCTGGGTCATCAGAGCTTCTGTCCATGGCAAAGTCAATGCTCTGTGTGTGTGCCGTGTGCGTATGCTCTCTATGCAACACTCTGGAGGGGAGGTGTAGCTTCTGTTGTGTTTGTTCAAGCTGCTGTTGGGGATTACAGACTTTATTCTTTTTATAAAAGAAGTATGTGTTTATGAAGCTGAAATGATAGGATATATCCAGGGGAGGTGTGGCTATTCATTATTATTCAGAGATAGTACTTTATTGTTATTTGTTTTAAGGCAGAGTCTCATTACGTAACCCAGACTGACCTAGAACTCAGAGTTCTGCCTGCCTCTGTTTCCCAAGTGCTGGGATTAAAGACATGTGTTGTATTGACTTACCTACTTACTTTATTTATTTATTTGTTTATTTATTATTTTAGTTAATTTATTTTTATTTCTTAAAATTCTTAGCTCAGGCTAGACTAGAACTCTGTATAGTCTAGACTGGCTTGACACTCATCCTTCTGTCTTATTCTCCCAAGAGAAGGGATTACAAGTGTTTGCCATCTCACACAGCTAATTTTTAAAAATTAATTAATTAAAAAGAATAATTTCTTCTGCTAGCATTTAGAAGGATGGGACGAGTGCATTTCTGTGAATTCAAGGCTAGCCTGGTCTACATGCAAGTTCTAGACCAGCCAGGGCTGCATAGTGAGTTCCTGTTGAAGAAGGGGGAGGAAGAAGAGGAAGAGTAGAATTTGTATTCTACTGTAGTGAAGAGAATCCCCTTCCTTGTATTTATTTACCATTGAGTGATTCATTTATAGCAACATGGACTCCTGCTTTCCTGTCTTACTCAATGAATTATTTTGATATTAAAATTGTATAGATTGGTGGAATCCTGTTCAAGCTGGCTTGTATCCTTTTGTTATGACACCTGACATTCTTTGTTTCCTTGTTTGGCACATGATACTTAAAGTTTATCTGTTTTGCTTGGTGGTTTGTTCTTAGACAGGGTCTCACTACATAGCCCTGGCTGGCCTGGAACTCTCTATAGACCAGGCTGGCCTCCACCATACAGGACTTTTCAAAGCTATCTAATACCTCTCTTGTGCTTGTTCTGGAATTACTCTTTTTGTTTGTTTGTTTTTTGTTTTTCTTGTTTTGTTGCTGTAGTTGTTGTTTTTAAATTCCGAGACAGGATTTCTCTGTGTATCCCTGGCTGTCCTAGAACTCACTGTGTAGAACAGGCTGGCCTCAAACTCACAGAGTTCTGCCTGCCTCTGCCTCTGCCTCCCGAGTGCTGGAACTAAAGGCGTGCACCAGCACTGCCTGGCCTGTCAGTATTTTTATGTCATTAAAATAATTTTTAAGATTCAAATGATTTGATCTATATAGTGAGTTCCAGGACAGCCAGGATTTTCACGAAGAAATCCTGTCTTGAAAGACCAAAAAGGAATAATCAATCAATCAATAAGATTACTATAATATTTTTAAACTATTTATTCTTACTTTATGTGCATTGGTGTTTGCTTTTTTGTTGTTTGTTTTTGTATGTCTATGTGAGGGTGTCAGATCTTGGAGTTACTGACAGTTGTTAGCTGCCATGTAGGTGCTGGGAATTGAACCTGGATTTTCTGAAAGAATCTTAACCGTTGAGCCATCTCTCTGGCCCCCGACTATAATATTTTTATATCGCTCAGCCACTCACTGACTAGTAGACATTATTTTATCACAAATAATGCTGTGGTGATATTTTAGTGTAAACATTTGCCAAGTGGTTGTAGGTTGACGTGATTTTGCCAGGTGTCTCTCAAGTCACAGGTAGCCTTTCAACTTGCTACCAAACCTTATCAGATCACTTTGCCTCTTGCCTGTGAAAATAGTAGATCTATGGGCATAGGTAAGCACAGTTGGCTGTTTTCATTTGGCTTGTTTGACTACAAGGTAGCTTGTGGATAATCCTACATACCCTTGTATCTGTTTTGTGACCACATTTTTCTCAAGTGCTTTAGAAGTGGATGCCTAGGTATGGTTGTCTTTTTAGTGGCTTTTGGATCTAATCATTTGAAAGTTCCAAAGTAAAAGCTGAGCGCTGTTATTCACATCTGTAATCCCTGCACTTGAGAGGTGGTGGTGAAAGGATCAAGAGTTCAGGGGGTGGGGGATCCAGTGAAGAGATGACTTAGTGGTTAGAAGCATGTACTGCTCTTCCAGAAGACCTGAGTTCAGTTCCTAGCAACCACGTCAGATGGCTAGCAATTGACTTCAATTCCTGCTTGAAGGGGATTCAACTCTTTCAGCTTCTTCAAGCTCCTGCACTCACATGCCAATGCCTACACACAACACACACATACACAAATTTTTTAAAAACGAAAGTAAATCTTAAAAAAAAAAGATCGTGGAGACTAGAGAGATGACTCAGTGCTTTCAAGGACCCAGTTAGATTCCCAGCACCCACATGGTGGCTTACAGCTATTTGTTACTCTGTTTCCAGGAGAGTTGACACCCTCTTGTTGCCTCTATGGGCACAGGAACATATGGTACACATACATACATGCAGGCAAAACACTTGTACACATAAAATTAAAATAAAATAGCTTTAAAAATTCATGATGAGAGGTCTGGAGAGATGACTCAGTAGTTAAGAGTGCTTATTCTTCTTTCAGAGAACCTCAGTTTGGTTCCTGCCATCCAACTCACCAACTGCCTGTAATTTTAGCTTCAACAGAGTTCATGTCTTCTTCTGGTTTCCATGGGCATCTGTGTGCATAAATGTGCACACCCGCACAAATAAAAATAAAGTAGAGGGCTGGAGAGATGTCTCAGCAGTTAAGAGAACACACTACTCTTGCAGAGAACCCAAGTTCACTTCCCATCACCTACATCAGCTATCTCACAATCACCTGTAATGCTAACTTTAGCTCCAGTAGTTCTGATGCCTCTGAGACCTTAAACTCAGATCCTCCTGCCTTTACCTCCTGTGTGTTGGGATTACGCATGTGCACTACCATGCATTTTTTGTTCAGTGCCGGATATTGAAAGGCAAGTACCTTTTTTCATGCATGCTAGGCAAGTACCATACCAACTGACCTGAATCTCTAACCCTGGATTTTTCTTATATTACTTGGTGTTCACATATACACATATATGCACACACATAAGAAAATATTTAAAGAAAGAAAAATTATATATGGGCTTGGAGATATAGTTTAGCTGTAGGACACTTGCCTAGTGTGCTTAAGGTTGTGGATATGATCCCAGATCAACTAAAATGGGATGGAAGGGAGCGGTGAGAGAGGGAGGACAATTATTGTTGACTGAGGCTGCTTGTTCATTTCCTGGCTGCCCAGATCCAAAATAATCAAACAGAAACTATATTAATTTCAACACTGTTTGTTCAATAGCTTATGCATATTTTTAGCTAACTCTTACATCTTAAATTAACTCATAATTCTTGTCTGTGTTAGCCACATGGCTTGGTACCTTTTATCAGTGAGGCATTCTCATCTTGCTTTCTCAGCATCTGGGTGACAACTGCAGACTGAGCCTTTTCTCTTCCCAGAATTCTCCTATTCTGGTCTCCCCGCCTATACTTCTTGCTTGGCTACTGGCCAATCAGCATTTTATTAAACCAATACAAGTGACAAATCCTTACAGGGTACAAGACCTTTGTCCCACAGTAAGTTATGTATGTGTAGAAAATGCCTTTCCATGGCATTATTCTAAATATTACAGTAAACGATGATTACATGGCTCATATAATACATACTGAATTCAATAGTAAATAGAGATGCTTGAATCTAGTAGTTGGCAGAAGTTTATGCAAGTGCTATACTGTTTTATACAAAAGTAAAGCCTCTGCAGATGTTGGTATTGGTATGTTCCCCATGAATGCAGAGGGAGACAGTTGTCATTGCAGTGATGGGTTGTAGTGTCTTAGGGGAAGCCAGTCTGCCTTATGTATTAAGGGACCACTGTACTGTGGCATTCATCCAGTATTATTCTTCTTTGTGTCTCATTTTTATGCCATGATGGAAAATGTTTACGGTTGTTTGAATGTCACTGTCTCCTCAGACTACCTTCCACAAGTGAACAGTTTGGGGTTTGCTAACTTACAGATAAATCATTCTTGCCATGAATGTGCAAAAACAGAGATTTAAACAATGGGTATATTTGTTTGTTTTTCTTCTGATTTTGAGTTAGAGAAGGACTTTATAAGCATAATGCAGGAACTAGATATCACATAGGTCTCATTGTGAAAGACATCAGAAACAAGGTTCACAGGGAAATGACAAACTAGAACAAGTCAGGCAGTGCTCTCCTGTAAGTAGAGTATCTGCAGCTTCCTCATATCGCAGCAATTGTAGGGAGCATGTGTCAGCATGAAGGCTGGAAAATCATACAGTAAAAATGTAAAGAAATGCAAATTAAGATAATGAGATATTGTTTTTTTCTCTTTTGCTGAAAAACATTAAAAGGACTAGTAATCTGCAGTGATGGTGTGGGGAGTGAACTTTCATGTACTGTCGCCGTGTGCGTGCGTGCGTGCGTGCGTGTGTGTGTGTGTGTGTGTGTGTGTAGATTTTGTTCTAGGATCTCTTTTGCAATATTATTTATAATGTTGAAAAATAAAATCCAAATAACCAGTTTTGTAGGGAACTGATTGAATAAAACTTTTGATGAAATTTTAAGCAATTATTGAGAAAGAAGTAGTTTTGTATAACACAGTGGAAGAGGTAGCCTGCAAAACACTTATATTATAATTCTATTTCTGAGTTAACAAGATAAACAAGTTGAGTCTCCATTGTTCAAA